GCATATGTATGTATATGTATACTGGATCATGTAGCTTAATGCCAGGAACTTTGCATTGTTTTATAATTTGCGATATCAAACTAAAGTTATAGTTTCTTCCAATGCTATCTAACTTGTTACCAGGCCGGTGTTGGGTCAAATCGATCACCATTGTAAAATATAATAAGGCACACCTGGGCCCTGGCATGGTACGAAGTAAATATAACCACGAATATAGTGAACTAAGGAAAGCGAATGCACATACTATTGACAGTAGGTCGGGGATTCGTAGTCTCGGGCGATAAATGTCAAATGACAAGTGACATCTAGTTAACGGATTCTGATTGGCGGTTCATCGGTTTTGAGGCCCAAAATTTCACACGAAAGGACAACTTTTGGAATACACGATTCTCAAAAAAATTACTATTGAAGTGTCCCGTTTAAAAGTTTTGAACTTTTTAAAAAAAGCTACGGTTTTACGTTTAAGTTCGAATTTTTTGCCCTTTCCTCCTGAACTTTATGAGGTCTGTAGGGCTGTACCGTTGTAGTGTGTAAATATGTAGGGCTGTAGGAGTGTAGGGTGAAGTGTACATAGGGCATAGGCTTTGGTTGACTGGTCTGGGGCGGCTGGGACTGCTGGGACTCTGCGTCTCTCTGGGAGTCTTATTTAGGGGAGGTGAAGTAGTAAACTTGCCACCCCAGGGCCCAGGCCCAGGCCCCCGAGCCAGATGTTATAAGTCAGAAGTCAGAAGTGAGAATTATCCACTCCCCAGTGCCCACTAATAACCAACTCTCTAGTCTCCAATCTCCAGTGAGTCCAGTCTCCACTGAGGGCCCGAGGGCCGAGGCGTCCGGATGAAGATAAATGGAAAAAAAAAGAGGGCCCGAGCCCCAAGGCCCCGAGGGCTGAGGCCTGAAGGCTGAAGGCTGAGGGGTAAATATTTAAGTACCATTCATAGTAATAAATTTGTGCAAGAAATACAGATTTCCAGTCGCAGTGTCGCAGACATTCCTGTGCCTTAACTCCAAGAGTGAACGAAGTCTAAAACACGTCAAAAAGCTTTAAAAAAGGTGACACGTTGTGGAACGTGGAAGACTACATATTTTTATTTACTTATTTAAATTTTTTTTTAAAATGTAGTGTATGTGTATTTAAATATGTATTTACATACATATTTGATTTGGTTTTGTTTTTTATATTTTTGTATCGTTTCTAGAAAATGTAAATACATAGATATAGACCTCACTTCGTCTTCAATAGGCAGCCAAACGGCATATACACGCATTTGTAAATATTTGGTGACTGTTCCTGAGGTTTGAGCTCGGCTGGCATTTTATAACCATTGTTAAGAGGTTCCAGAGATATAGAGAGAGCTCTACTGAGAGAGCCTTTACAGTCGACGAGAGTCAGCCTACTGTGTGAGGTGGTTGTACCATTTGTTAGTTGTAACACGTACATAAAGTGCATTACAAAATGCCCACGTGTCCAGACCAAACAAAACCATGCGCACGCTACTGACTTCATACCTGCTTGATATGGTATGAACAAAATTGAGTTGCTGGGCTATGGGCTGTGCCTGATATATATTTATATATTTTATAGAATAAGCATCATGATTCGAGTATTTACCGGGTAAGAAGCTTAAAAAAAATCCTTATTTTTCTCTGTACAGAACAGAACATTGATTAAAGTTAAAATTGTGTTTTAGATCACCCTAGTCGATAATATTATGCAGCTATATGTCCTCGAGGCCAGGCTATGTACGCTTTGATGAATTTTGGTTTCACAACTCCGCACTCCGTGCAGCGGTTCTAAATTCAATGAGACGTGAATCACATAAGTTGTTTCTTTCACTTACAGCTAAGCTAGTAAATACACGCACATAATGTCATAGGCTGACAAGTAGTCTGTCACAGTTCTACTTTTCACATACACCGTGTACTTTATATAAACACGTAGACAATAAGCGATCATTTATAGGTGTTGCACATGGCGTCTATGGCTTTCAAACCACGGTTCTAAATTCAATGAGACGTGAATCACATAAGTTGTTTCTTTCACTTACAGCTAAGCTAGTAAATACACGCACATAATGTCATAGGCTGAATAGTAGTCTGTCACAGTTCTACTTTTCACATACACCGTGTACTTTATATAAACACGTAGACAATAGTCGATCGTTTATCGGTGTTGCACATGGCGTCTATGGCTTTCCATCCACAACTGTAGTACTCATGGATAACGATTGGGCGGATCTGCATTTGTATGAAGCGGAATATTTTTATGTGATGGTAGGAAAACGAGTAGAACAGAACACATCTCACAGGACAACAGAAGGAACAATATATGCTAATTAGTAAAGAATCGCATGCCGGTGTTTCACTTTATCACGTCCGTTCAATCTATCACGTCCGGTTGGAAGACACAAAAATAGCGCCCCATAGCCTTTAAAATTTGTCTGAAACGCTATTACATAATGAGTGTTTGCACTTTGGCCATTGTATTTATTGCTCTACTTATCGCCTAGCAAGGGATATCTACTCAACCCAAACCGCACCAGTCCTCTCTTGACATCCATATCTAGGCGCGTCAGCAGAGTGAAAGCCAGGTCTGGATCGGAGCAGGCCAGACACTTCTTCAGTAACTTTTCTTTCTCAGTTTGTATCTCTTGCCCTAAGCCTACGAGCACAATATTGACATCGCCCCACATCTCACTAGAAAACAAGTTGAGACAAAGTAGTTAATATCTGTCAAGTGGTGGTAAGGAAGAAAAGTATCGATGTGTAGTACAACTCCGACATAAAGGGGTGTCGCGACTTGTCAGGTAAAGTTCAATCACAGTACATTCGACCAAGTAGAAGAAACGCGTGCGCACGTTGTAGAATGGAGAATCAGCACACATGTGGATTGATATCTGTATCGACACTCAGAGGGATATATACCAATGTAACTATACGTATGTGCGAAATTAACTACAACTTATCAAGGCTTGAAACACATTATACTCCGCAACGCTCTGGAGACAACGGTCCTGAAAACGGGTGGACGAGATTGTTTAGGCAAAACTATCGCACGCGCAGGCCCATCTAACCGACACACACAGACACCCATACAAGCAAACCACTAAATTTTCCCGTGCCAAGAGATACTTAATCGGATTTGCTGGCTGCCTATGGGAGGGTGTACTGGACGGAGTGGTTTCCTATTGTACTATGAAAACGCATAACATTCTGTAAATGTCAAGTTAACCGTGGATAAACATACTATGGTATCCAGCTTTCAATAGCCGCGCGGGTCCGCTCCGGTGTGTTGCACTCGGCCATTCCTTTAGGACCGGTCCATTTCAACTTGTTCGCAATCTGGTGCACGTGCGTGTCCACTGATATGCCCATCACATTGTTAAATGCCACTCGCAGTGTGATGATAGCCATCTTGGGCCCTACACCCGGCAGAGCTACCAACTGCAGCGTAATTGAAGTAGTTAAGGGTCTGAGATACACTACCACATGCTCCTTCCGTGCGCGTATACGGTTGGTACTGTACGACGTATGCTTACAAAGAGTTAGCACTACATGTGGTACATGGGAGGCACAATACAGGTACATGCTACACTGTCAGTGTGGCCTGCCCAGAATCAGAGCATACGTTATTTGTAACAATACTGTTCAAAACTATATTCACGGCTCAGCCTGCAACGAACCTTGCCATCACAGATACAGTACATTGAATTAGCAAAGTATACATATACTCTAGAATTGCTCTTAGAAATTAGGGTTTGTTTATATTTGAGATGAAGGCGCATCAGAAATCAGTGCCAAGGGTATGTCATCGCTATATCGTGGTTCGCGATAAATGCGATATTGACAGCACAACATATACATATGATAAAGATTAAGCTCCATAACGCACAAACTGTAACTCTACACTGTCGGCAACTACTTTCAACTACCCCCACCCTTGCCGGTGCTCTACATTCTTCCCATGTTTGTGAGCCGCATCAAGCCCACCCCCCTTCACTTAACACAATACCGTTCATACCGTTTATACACGTGCGCTCCTACTCCCCCCAGCGTGTATAACTTACCCCTTCGAAGGTGTCGGGTATCTTCCCGTCGTACTCGTCATGTACCATCTGAGCTACTTGTTTGATGCGGATTGTCTTCTGGTTGTGGAATCCAACCTGCCCCATAAACAACCATATGACCAAACACAACAGATCAAGACATATGAAGCGGGAGCTCAGTCATGAGATACACAGAATATTAGACAAAATGTGTGCTGATAATAAGAGATGCGCTGCTATGCTGTCCCACTGAAACACAGAATATTAGGCAAAATTTGTGCCGGTAATAAGAGATGCGCTGCTATGCTGTTCCACTGAACGCCTGATCAGTCATTCTACGCGCCAGCGACTGGACTGCCAAAGGTGTTTGATGCTCACAGAGATATATATAATACGCTAACAGGCCGATGAAGAACTGTATTGTATGTTACATAAAAGCGAAAATTCCCTACCAGATAGCTTTCCCGCTACATGCCCCAACTTTAATGTTCCACTCATGCACACCTTATTAATCATGCCATTCAGCGTACCATGCGTCATATCCAATACCGTCTGTACGGTCAAACCCCCTGGCTCGTATGCTCTGAGTATCTTCATTGTCGCTGCATTTGTAATGTCTTTGGTCTGACTCGACAGCATCAATGACACCAGCGTCTACAGGGAGGGTAAAAAATGTTTCAATTTTGAAAAAACTTGTTCCACACACTTTTTTTTGCGATGGACGACAACTCCCTTCACATCCCTGTAGAACATGAAATTGTATACCATCTTCTTGTATATGATACATATATATATATATATATATATATATATGTATATGTATATATATAGATAGATATAGATATAGATATAGATATATATATATATATATATAGAGAGAGATATATATATTATGTATACACACGCACACACACACACACACACACACACACATATATGCACATATATATATACATATAAATATATATGTATAAATACGTAC